ATCTATCTATCTATCTATCTATCTATCTATCTATCTATCTATCTATCTATCTATCTATCTATCTATCTATCTATCTATCTATCAAGAAAAAAATACTGAAACTATAAAATATTCAAAGACCTAAACATTTTATCTTATCATCTCATATTTTATCACTTTTCTCCTGTGTTATGTTAGAGTCATGATTTATTCGAAGTCCATTTCATAGTTAAACAAATACATTGATAAGTAAGATATCAATCGATCGATCGATCAATATTTTCAGATGCTTTGAGTTAGAAAAAGGAAAACCTAACATTTTTCCATTGATCCTGTAACTTTTTCCACTTCAGTCTCAACTGGCTTGTTTTAGATCCTGTTTTTTAGGCCCCTTAACAAAAGGCTCAGTATGCTCAGATTGGTGTGATACAGCTGATAATTGTTAGCCCATCTGTAACCACGATACAGATACCTTACTTTTCAATGTATTTGTTTAACTATAAAATGGACTTTGAATAAATCATGACTCTCACACAACACAGGAGAAAAGGGATAYAATTATGAGATGATAGGACAAAGGGAAGATAAAATGTTTAGGTCTTTGAATATTTTTATAGTTTCAGTGTTTATTTTTTCTTGTTTTATTCCTAGTTGGACAGATTTAATTGTCGGAGCTCCCAACTTCTTTGACCGTAAAGCAGAGATCGGCGGGGCTGTTTATGTGTATCTAAACCCCTTCGGTCACTGGGACGATCAGGCTCGACCAATCCGCCTCAACGGGACTTACGACTCCATGTTTGGGATGACAGTCAGCAACATCGGAGACCTCGATCAGGACGGATATGGAGGTGTGAGCAAGGCTTTTTGTTTATTTTTTAACTTCACGCATAAATCATAAATCTTAACCAGAGAGTTCAGAACTTAATAACAAAATGTTATTGCCGTCTTTTGAAGAGTAGGTGAGAACAACACTGGTGAGTCCATTTTTAAAAGAGTGGAACAATGGTGAAAGTTATAAGTACGTTTTTGTTTTCCTGCAGATATCGCTGTGGGAGCTCCATTTGATGAAGATGGAAAAGTTTTCATCTACAGAGGCTCAGATGCTGGAATTGAGACTAAACCTGCTCAGGTAAATTTGGCSAAAGAGGTGACAGAACTAAAGTGTTACTCTGCGTAAATGTAATATTGATTCTTTTAGGTTCTGGACGGCCGGGACTTTGACGTGAGACGTTTTGGATATTCCATCTCAGGGGGTTTGGATATTGATGAAAACCACTACCCAGATGTAGCAGTTGGCTCGCTTAACGATTCAGTAGTTCTCTTCAGGTGAGAAAGTATATAAAAAAATAAAATAAAGCAAAACGAAACAACTAAAGCGCACAAATATTTCATAAAAAGAATCACACTGGGGATCGCAAAAGTGTGAATTTTAGCACTGTAGAAATCTAATTGTGTAATGTGGACACAATTTACTTCCCTGATGTCTCTTTGTTTTTGTTTTGCTTTTTTGTCTTTAAGGTCTCGTCCAGTCATCCATGTGATCAGAGACGTATCAATTGATCCTCAATACATTGACCTGCAGAATTACAACTGCAAGGGAAGAGATGGAGTCTGGTGAGAATCGATTATGCGACAGAGTCTTGGAAAATTTAACCCATACACTGAAGACCATTGTGTTGTGAATAAGCTTCTGTCAACTTTTATTTTGTTTAAACCCCTTCCCACACTTCTTTTTAGCACTGATGTTAAAGCCTGCTTCACCTTCACAGCCTACCCAGAACACTATTCACCGCATATTAGTAAGTTCAACTTGTGTTTTCTAATATTGTTTTTTTTATGTAGGACATCCCTGTGGAAAATATGATTTAATTTTGTTTGCGTGAAAATGTAACATTGTTCACTAAATAGAATAAAATATCAGTAAAATAATAACTATATCATTGCGTAGCCAATCAGTAGCTGCGTTTCCATTGCAAATGTGCGCAAAACTTTGTCGATATTCTGTTAATGTCAAAAAACACAGTTCCGCAATTGCAGTGTTTCCATTAAGTAAAAAATACTATTAAAGTCACATGTGAATACCTTTGTTCTCGCGATAAGTCATCACAAACATGGTGGCAATGGATGTAAACACATAGCATGTTGCTACCACGACACTAGCGCTCATCATCAGTCAACAGAGGAGACGTCAGCATCTTATCGAGGCTTTCGAGTGAAAAGCCCCTTATACATGGGAGTGGCTATGTATGCTGCGTTTTTGGGAAATTGTAGTCCGTGAGTTTAATGCTTTCTTTTACTTCTTCTGTGATTTTACTACTACTTTTCCTTCCTGTTATCTTCTTCTTCGTTGTCTTTTTCACCAGTAGAAACAGCCGGTTCTTGATAACGTGACTCAGGTGAYACGAAAAAAGTGTTTCCATTGCAGTTTTGCRAAATAACCAATTTCGATACCACCGAAAAACCACCTCTTACTAGCGCAAAATCATTTTGTCTAAAAGCTTTTTTTTTTTCGAAATTGACGTGTTTCCATTGAGCAAATTTATATTTGAAATTCTAATTTGCGCATTTTCATGGTCAATGGAAACACAGTTTATGATAGTTTTGATCTTTTTCCACCAGGCGCAGGTTCTTTAAATGTTCTCCACTCGTGTCAAGACATTTTTATTTTATTTTATTACCTCATTGTGCTGCTTCTGTTTTGTCCTCCCCAAGCCCTTGTGGTGCACTTTGAAGCCGACACTGAGCGCAGGAAGCTGGGCCTCCCGCACCGCGTCATCTTCCTGGGTCGTAGTTCACTGGAGCCTGAGTACACACAGACAGAGGAGGTGGAGCTTCATCGACAGCGTCACCCCGTGTGCACCACCGCCATCTTCCAGCTGCACGTCAGTATCTGAAAACGACTTGTTGTTTTTGTGTATTTATGAAGAATGAAAAACACAATTCACTGAACTCCTTTTTTTCAATTCATAGTGCACCTGAGAACCAAAATTTCATGCAAACTGCTTTTGAGCAGATATGGTTTTGACAGTCTTACTTTCTGTCCACTCAGGAGAACATTCGTGACAAACTACGACCCATATCTTTAACGATAACCCACACGATCAAACCTGTGCCACCTCGCAGACACTCAGGCAAAAGACCACAAAGGCTGCCACCTGTACTCAACCTCACTCCTTCAAATAAGCTGCACTCTGAGGTCTGTAATAAAAAGGAAAAAATAGCTATTTTATGGCATGGATTACTGCATAAACCTGTTAAAGCTTTCCRTCCTTGTTATTTGTTATTAAAAATTGTTTAGCTAAAAAAGGTGAATCTTCAGTAGTTTTTATGCARGAAACTCGTTCATCTTTTAGGCTCTGGAAATGAGTTCACACCCAGTTTAGTTTTGTATCAAAAACCATCAAGCTGTTATTGAACTCACAACCAATGTTTAATACTTTTTAAATGAATCTCTGAAGGTAAACTTCCTGCGAGAAGGATGTGGCACGGACAAAATCTGYCAGAGCAACCTGAAGCTGAGCTACCAGTTTGGAACCCGACTTCCAAACTCTGACCTCTTCATCGCTCTGCCAAGGTTTGTACTGTACTGTCTCATTTTTTACGATTTGTGTGCAAATAATTTCATAAATATTCTCTGAAAAATTGTGATCAGGATCTGAAAAGACAAACTATAATTTTGTGGTCAGATAAACACCATAAAACTTTATTTAGCATGAAATTGTACATTTTATACTTCCCCATGATACACAAATAAATTATGTGTTTCTACCCAACATTCAGTTTGTGTTTAAATACAGTTTGTATTTTATCTGAACACCTTTTCACAGTTTTAACTCCCTTTTTTTACTTCGTACAGAGATGAGGAAGGCTTGCAGGTGTTTTCTCTGTCAGACCAGCGGCTGGTGGTCCTGGAGATCACCGTCACCAACATGCCCTCTGACCCTCTTCAGCCTGAGGAGGATGGTGACGATGCTCATGCTGCTCAGCTGCTGCTCAGCCTCCCAAATATGCTGTCGTATGCCGGCTCTCGGGTCCCATCACAGGTCTTAAACTAATTATTTAAATGTTGTCACAAAAAAAGGGCGTACATTTCCTCTGATTTTTGTTCAATATCCTGACAAACTGTAGATGAGATGTCAAGCAAATCAGAATGGCTCCCAAGTTGAATGTGATCTGGGAAACCCTGTCAAACGAAACACAAAGGTAAAAATTCAGTTTAAGTAGTTTTTCATATCAACAAAGTGCAATAAAGAAAACGTTTGATCGCATAAGGAACATATGAAAACACAAGAAACATCCATGTAGATTAAATATAGATGAAAACCTTCAGTGTAGAAGCTGAGATTAGAACAAAACCTACAATCCTTAAAAGTAATGAAATCAACAGCTCAGTTGAACATTTCATTTTTACCTTTCAGTTAAAATTCACCATCAACCTGAGCACGGCTAACATCACCACAGAGACGACCGAGTTAACCGCAGACCTCCAGCTGTCCACGTAAGTCCTCCTTATCCTCTCTGTGACAACAGATGAGTGTTGAACCATGCACCAGTTTATCTTTATTCAGTTAAAAGAGCTTTGATTCAATTATTMTTTAATCTCTTGTCATTTGATCTTCAGTATCAGTGAGCAGGCTGACCTAGACCCCATCACAGCTTATGCTAAAGTTGTGATAGAGCTCCCTCTGTCTGYCAGCGGGTGAGTTAACATGTTTAAAAAAAACAACTGAGGGTAAAATTCTGCTCAGTCTTGGTTTGGACTTAACATCAATGCAGAAATAGAATAGACATCCTGTGGTTTTAAATATGTTTTCAGCATGATGGAGAGCTGTGTTGGAATCTCAGCTCTGTTTATGAAGCAGTGAGTTGAAGCATGTTTGCAGCTGGTCTGATTGTCTATTTAATCTTTTAGACTGGCTCGTCCTCACCAACTGTTCTTCAGTGGGGCAGTGAAGGGGGAGAGCGGCATGACCAGTCTGGAGGACATTGGCAGCCCTGTGGAGTTCGAGTTTGTGGTGAGGAAAGATTTTATGCATCTAGAACATGTGTCAAACACAAGGCCCGTGACTCCCGTGTGGCCCACCAGGGGGGTACCCCCCCATTTTTTTTTTACTTAACATGAAATTTGTTTCTTATATCAATGGTATAGATTTAGTCGGTTGTACACTTAGTTCTTATCAGTGTTTAAAAGAGGACGAGTTAAAACTCTGTTTAGTCAAAGTTAAACATGAAACATCAAAGTTCATTACAAGTGGCCCTTCGAGGGCCACCACAACTCTCGTGACCCTTGGTGAAAATGAGTTTGACAACCCTGATCTAGAATGTAAATGTCAGAGAAACTGTGGTTCTTGATGTGAATATTTTTGCTGTGATCATCATAATTCCCTGCATCAAATAACTAAGAGCATTAAAAATGTTATTTATCCTTTGAAATCATGCACAATATTTGCTTCTGTCAGGTTTCAAACCCTGGGAAAGCTCTCCAGACGCTTGGATCTGCCTACCTCAACATCATGTGGCCCAGTGAGCTGGCTAACGGAAAGTGGCTCCTCTATCCTGCAAGCATGAAGTTTGCTGGCCGCCCAGAGACACACTGCACCCCAAAAGAAGCCTTGAATCCTCTGAAGCTGCAGAGCACCTCACCTGCAAACAATTCACAAGCTGCTGGTGAGAAGGTAGGAGCAACAACTGGTTTCTAACAACTTACTGGTGCATCTTCTGGAATGTAACTGAGAAAAACAGCTTTGTTCTCACTTTTTTTGCTAGAACCGGTTACATGGAAAACTGGAAAAGATTGAATAATTTTTTTTGGAATTTGAACTGAAATGCAACGATCTCAGTCATTATACACACTCAGATCTAAATGAATTGCTCTCAGCAGGTGGGCAGAAGTCGTCGCTCTTATCCAGAGGAGGAAGGTCAAGTGATGACAAAAGGCAGCGTGGGGCGAACCACTCCAGCTGTGGCAGCTTCAGAGAGACGCAAGTCCCTCAAACTGGTAAGAGAACGAACAAATGAGCATGAAAATAAGGTCAGCTTGCCAATGAGCWGCTAATGCCCCAATAGGTAACTGTAAAATACAGATATATAACAGAAGAGATGTTGTTGTTGTTGCTCTTCTGTTCCTCAGATTGCTGAGTTGTTGTTGTTGTGTCCTTCAGGATTGTCTCCTGGGGTCGGCGCGCTGCATTCTGTTCCAGTGTCCTCTCCACAGCTTCACTGGTCAGGCTGTCCTCAACATACATGCCAGGCTGTGGAAAAGCAGCTTTATTGAGGTAAAAAAAAAATACAACGAAATCCTATTAGACTCACAATTTCATTACAAAATTTCAAACAAGAGCTGAAACTTAAGTTCATCTGAGTGCAGTTAGATCTTGAKATTTTTTTCTCAAGGTTGTAAAGCTGTAAAGGACATGAGGTTCCATCAACAGGGAAGCAAAATTGCAGYTTGTTATGGCATTATTTGTTAATGAAATTGATACATTTGAACAGGTTACCAATAACCTAGTACTTTTGCTGGTGAAATTTACAGGTCTGGTTGGCAGGTAAAACTACTTTAAAAGGGCAATGTTATGTGTTTCTCAGGCATACATTTAAATACTATACTATAATAAAGTATCTATGTCACGTTTAGCTGCTATTAAAATGTTGTTTTTATGTTTAAATAAACTTATCTTCTCAACACTTCCTCTTTTAAATGCCTTGAAATTGGCCTCTGACTCTTTAAGAACCACCTTCCGCTTGTGTCTCGCC